TCAAACATCTCTTAAATGGCACGAGAGAGCAAAAAACTTTGCAAACGAAGATGAAAGGCAGATCTTCTTCTGCTTCTAGTGCCTATCCTTTGTGAATGTTGGCAATGATGTTGGTTGGTCCATACAATCTTGTTGACAGCCGCCCTGAATAAATGCACAGTCGTCATTTCCGTCCACGACGTCGCCGCTGACCTCTTTCACCAGCTATTTTGCTCTGGAAGATTAGTTGGATAAATTGATATTTCTCATTACGCATCACGTGCCCAAGGTACGCCATCTTCCTCACTTTCTTATTATGTATGACTTCGAGTTGCTTTTGCATTCGTTGGATGACGGTGTTGTTTGTGACATGGTAGGAGTATGATATACTGAGCATGCGGTGATAGCACCACATTTCAAAAGCCTCCAGGCGCTTAGATGTAGCATCTGTCAACGTCTAGGGTCCGCTCCGTATAGGAACGTGGAGAATACATAACATCTTAGGACCCATGTTCTTATAGTAATATTCAGGTGCATGCTTCATATGACTTTTTTGAGGCGGTTAAAAACGGTTCTGGGTTTTTCTATTCGGCATTTGATCTGCCGTGTATGATCTCATTCCTTATTCAGGCTGCAGCCCAAGTACATTATTTTATCTGGTATTTTCAAGATTTCATTATTGGCCCTAAACTGGTAGTATTGTGCCTCATCGTTTTTACTGACTACAAGAATTTTGATGTTAATGCAGTTGAGCCTCATACCATACATATCACATGGCTCCGCTACACGGTCTATCAACCTCTGCAATCCCTCAGTACCATCTGCTCTAAGAACTGTATCGTCCGCATCTTAATGCTTTCCTCTGTTTCACTAAGCGCTGGTCCCAACTGTATTTCGGAGTAAGTATTATTAAAGGTTTCGTTGTCTATACGCACAGTCGCTCTCAGGTACTCTCTGTTATGAGACGCAAATCTTTGCCGTCGATACCAAACTCCATTAGTATTTAAAATAATTTGTGGTGTTGCACCTTGTCAAACGTCTTCTCGAAATCGATAAAACAAGCGTAGACATCACACTCCCTGGTCCTCTATATCAGGACCAGAAGAGAAAACAGGGTCCCTCGCCTTCCCATTCAATTTCTAATTCCAACCTGAACTTTGCTCATGTTTTCTTCGACCTTTCTGTACATACGACTTATAATTTAGTAATCGGAGCATCTAGTACCATTTGCTTTCTTAGGAAGGGGAATAAATGTGGAAACCAGCCAGTTCATTTTCGAAAGGTAGATAAACTAAACTAACTAAACTAAAAAATAGTCTTGAATATAAGAAATAATAAATCATTTACCTAAAATAGTTCACTTTCTTTGAAAGCGATATCAAAAAGATAAAAAAGAATTATTACTACTTAGCTTCATATGCTATTTGTCTTTTTTTTACTTTTTAGAACTTTATCAATCTTTTAACTTTGCTTAAAACTTTTCTTCCTTCTACTCTAAAATACCCAATTAAGCAAAAATCAGGCAGGCGCAAAGTGTCACTTTGAGAAAGTCGTCGTAGTCACGGGTTTAGGAGCGATCGGTTGTTTTCTTCAAATTTTAACAACGGATGGTATTTTGACATTGTCGGTTCTGATGGCCAAGTCACACGTCACTCAAAAACTAGTAATAAAAATACTATAGAAAGAAATGCGTTGATTAACTTATTTAACCAAAATATCTGCTTTAAAATAAGTACTGCCAACTAAACTAAAAAACACGTAACTATAACTCAAAAATTAATTGCATTTGTTACAAATTTAGAGGTTCTTTTATGTTTTCTTAAATTTACTTTTTCTTGTTCTATTTTTTCAAGAGTAGAGCGATTCTTATTCAGCCTATAAAACATAATATGTTACTGATAACGCGGCTTCTTGACCCGTCGTTCATTAAATTAGGGTGAATTGAGCGTAAACATTGCTGTTATACATTGCAGACCGTTGAAAAACTTAGTTTGTAAAACTTTGCACGATGTTTCAGGATTATGAACATTTTCAAACTCCTGCTTGATCCGATAGAATACCGTCGTAGTATTAATCATTATTTAACTGACATATAACCTTCAGCTCAATTTCAAAATCTGTTTTATACCTTTTTGAGATAAGATTTTTAAAGACGCAATCTTTGAGGAAAATACCCGGATTAAGGAGTGTTTTGTTTATCCTTTTTGAGTAACAATATTTCGCGATTAGTGCACAGAGTAATCTGAGTTAAAAGCAATAGAATTATTTCGGTAAGTATTTACAAAACAAATCCGCAAATATGCTTTTCTTTTTTTTAACTTGTCACGAAAAAATTAAGGTTTTCCTGAAAACTCCGAACCTCAGATTTAATTTGTTGCAAATAACCTAAAGCCCCTTTCAGTCACCCGGTACATAATTATTTGAGTGACACTCGTTTATTTACTTTTACTTGCTCTTTACACTGAACTGCAAAGTTTTTCATTTTCTAGTCGGCCACTAGCTGGTGATATATTGTTATCATCCGCCTATATTTCCTGCAAAATGAGGCCAAGGTGACCAAATTATTTAATAGTCTAATTTCTTTAAATTTACAATGAATACTACTACTACTAATCAAAATGGACGCAATTTTGTTGTTCTGATAAAAATATTCACAAAACGTTCGAACCGAATCTCAGAAATGTATCAACCTTATCTTATCTGCTATAAGAGATGCCGAAAATCACTAAGAACTTAAGTTACTGAATTATGTTTAGGAGAAATTTTCGACACAAAATTTGCGATGATTTACAGACACTTCAATCAACTATTGTGCATACCGATATTGAATGAATTAGTTGACTTAATTTAGAATTCTGTCGTTCTACTTACATTTATCCCATTGGTATTTAACGCAGAAATAAAGCGGCTTAAAATCCATAACTTATGTGACCACCAACCTTGAAATCTTGAAACACTCGTGTCGGCACTTTCGCGGATAAAATCATATTATACAGCATATTTTGAAAATATTATTTATTTATAAAACCCAAGATAAAAACACTTTACCACAGCAAAAATAAAATGAAAATTCTTATTAACGACTGCTTTCCCAGTTTACAGCATTTCCTTACTATTTGTATAAAGTAAGTTTCTGTGAAAAAAAAAAACAGAAGACATGAAGAATGTTACAGTTCTGCAAGCTATTTATTAATTAGCAAAATTTACTTCGTTATTACTTTAAATACATTTTTCTACTCCTTTCTGTAAAATACCCAATTATACACCGATCTAGCATGTGGAAAGTGTCATTTTACCACGTCAGTTTCGTTTTTCACGGATTCAAGCCACAGGAATTTCCGGGATATTTTCGGAAATATTTCTCACGGCTTGAATTTTGCCGTTTGTCAATTCTAACGGTCATGTCAGATAATTAAATAATAAAAATGAATTTGAATTTAAGTCAAGAGTTTATTTGGTATGAGCGGAGCCAGTGTTTAATAAACGAGTGCCTTAAAAGTTTACCAAACATGTTGCAGATTATACTTTTCCTACGACAGTTAGTTTTTGGGGACATTTTTACAAAACAACATTAATAGATTCACTGACATGACCGTCAAAATTGACAGACGTTAAAATTCAAGCCGTGCGGTAACACATCCGAAAACATCCGATTGCTCCCAAACCAGTGCGGTAATATCCCGGAAATTTCCGAAGTGACTCGGATCCGTGGGAAACAAAACTGTCATGGTGTTTTACAAACGGTAGTAGAAAAGTATAGGATATGCAACACGTTTGTTAAACTTTTTAAGACCCTCGTTTATTACTCGCTCCGCTGCGGTCCGCTCCTACCAAATAAACTCGCAACTTTACTACTACTACTCCCGTCTGTAAAATGCCTAATTACACACCGATCTAACGTGCAGGAAGCGCCACTTTACCACTTCAAATTTTACCGCACGGGTTTGGGAGCAATCGGATGTTTTCGAAGATATTTCCCACGCCTTGAATTGTGACTTTTGTCAATTTTGACGGTCATGTCAGTGATATATATTCGTGTTGTTTTGCGAAAATGTACCCCCAAACTAACGGTCAAAAAGTACACGTAAAGTACACTCGTTTATTAAACACTCGCTCCGCTCGTGTCAAATGTCGTTTACCACACTTGTTGCTCAATATGTTATTAGCAATGTATTTTGTATAAAATCCTAAATTGTTGAGACTTTAAATTAAGTCAATACACTTTTATTATGATTTTTAAATTTTAATTCTAGCTAAGATTTTTTAAATAATTTTTCACCCTCTGGTGGAAAGGAAGGACTTCCAAAGTTCGGACTTATTATGCAACAAGTTTGATAAACGCACTTTTCATCACCAGTTTTATCTGGGACGGGTGGAGCCCAGCAGAGCGATTGGCTGAAGAAGTTTATCAACCTGTTGCATACTATACGTTTTCAACGACCATAAGTTTTTGGTTATTGAGTGACGCATGACGTGATCATTACAATTGACAAACGTCAAAATACAATCCGTGACTAAAATGTTCCGAAAATAACCAAAGCCGTGACTAAAGTACTTGAAAGCCGGAGTGGCTCGCCAATCTGCATAACGAAGCCTCAAGTGACACTGCCAATTATGCACGCTTGATCCTTTCAAATTTGGGTGTTTTCGAGTAGGGTAGGGTAAAATTCTTTAATGATATAAGCGCGAGATGAGAAGGCAAAGATTCCGAGCGAAACGTTCGGATTGAGACTTTATTTTATTTTTTGCAAATCTGTAGACGTTAAATTTCAAATATTTTCGAAATAATATATAGAGAAGTCTTAGACACAGATTATATCCATTACAATTCGTGCATATTGCAAGTTAACAACATTCGCCCACTTCCCCTCGGCGTGTTTGCGGTCCTTCGTAGCTGCTGCATCTGTTTCGCATAAAACTCTCTTCTATCTTGGCCGCGTACCCCTCGTGGAGGCTAAGCGGGAACGCGTAGAGGGGACGGTCGGTTTTCTCCCTCCTCTTTATGCTCGTTCACGAGACAACACTCGTCGCGTTTACTGCCAGTCGCTCGAAGCGCAGTACGTGTAAATAAACGGTAGACGAATTTAGCGTTGTCGCATTGGTTAATCCGGCAAGAACAAGTACTTGGCCCCCCTTAATTAGTATTTGGTGCTAGTGGTGAGTGCTGCTGCTGCTGCAACATGTTTGACGTCTTCGGCTCCGTCAAGGGGCTGCTAAAAATCGATAGCGTATGCATCGATAATAACATTTTCCGCCTGCACTACAAGGCGACCGTCATTATTCTGGTTGCGTTCTCGTTGCTTGTTACTAGCAGGCAGTACATAGGGGATCCGATCGACTGTATCGTAGACGAGATTCCGTTGCCCGTGATGGACACCTATTGTTGGATTTATTCGACTTTCACGATCCCGAATAGATTAACGGGACGCGTCGGTCAGGATATGGCTCAACCGGGTGTCGCGAGCCACGTGGACGGCAAGGACGAAGTTAAATACCATAAGTACTATCAGTGGGTGTGCTTCGTGCTCTTCTTCCAAGCGATGCTCTTCTACGTGCCGCGCTACCTGTGGAAAACGTGGGAAGGCGGTCGTATCAAGATGCTCGTTTTGGACTTGAACTGCCCCATAGTAAACGAAGATTGCAAAGCTGACAGGAAGAAGCTGCTGGTCGACTATTTCACCGCCAATTTGCATCTCCAAAACTTCTACGCGTTTAGATTTTTCATATGTGAGGTGCTCAACCTGATCAACGTGATCGGACAGATATTTTTCATGGACTTTTTCCTGGACGGCGAGTTTTCCACGTACGGCAGCGACGTACTGCGCTTCACCGAGATGGAGCCAGAAGAACGCGAAGATCCCATGGCGAGGGTGTTCCCGAAGGTCACTAAATGTACCTTCCACAAATACGGTCCGTCGGGATCGGTGCAGAAGTTCGACGGACTTTGCGTTCTACCATTGAACATCGTCAACGAGAAAATCTACGTGTTCCTGTGGTTCTGGTTCGTAATTCTGAGCACACTGTCTGCCATGTCGTTGGTCTATCGTTTGTGTGTCATCATGGGCCCCAAATTGCGGCTCTATCTCCTTAGAGCCCGTTGCCGTATCGCCGGTCAAGACCAAATAGAGACCATCGCCAATAAATGCGAGATCGGAGATTGGTTCGTACTGTATCAACTGGGCAAGAACATCGACCCGCTGATCTTTAAAGAGGTCATATCAGACCTGGCCAAGAAGCTTGAAGGCAAAGAGATCGTGTGAAAGGAAGAAACGCATCAATACGTTCACTGTGGGACCAATTGCAAAGTTCTGTGATGACAGAAAAGACTGTTAATTAAAACAATTCTACAAAAGACAATTTAGTGATGATTACAGCTCAATCGCGGCCATTCCAATGGGCAGTCCTAAATTATTTTTTATATACGGTTACTTTACCTACGACTATAGCAATCTACTGCCAAAATGTAATTTCCTTTTTCGTTTAAGTGCATATATCTATTCTATTTCGATGAGTATTTATGGTTATAATATATTATGCAGAAGATGAGACGCTTTCGCCTTTTGCCAGTTGTTGAGTAAACCGTCCTCGGGAGAGGGAGGGAGTGAGTTTGCGCACTCCCGAACAGGGATTGTTGGTGCGTCAGATTATTGAGGCGAAATCGTATTCTCTGTGATAGATCTGATACTGTTCGTTTGTATCATCCTAAGAAATAAAATTAGCATAATGTCATGTGATGTATAGTTTAGGAGTATGACCGAGGGAAAATAATTTTAAATGATTTTTTAATTAGTTGGTTAATTATTCCAATTTTAGTTTTAGAGGGTTTTGTGTGTTCAGATGACCTATAAAATATTAAATCGCGTTTTTTAAAGCCAAATGTGCCTTTTAAATTGTATTGTTTCAGTAGGTAATAGTGACGACAAATAAATTGAATATTTTTAAGATAATACGGCGTTTTAATTTCCTTTACATCCACCATAAAGTGACGAAATCGAGTTTCTACCAACAGATGTTTCCTAACATTTAAATGTCGTGTACGCTTTCGACGCAGTTTTGTTTATCTCGAATTTGAAGCTTATCTGGTCCAGAGAGCGTAAAGTTTAAAAAAGCATTTAACATTGTTCACTTCACTCAATTTATCAATAATTCACCATAAATTTGATAAGATTTTTCCAGTAAATATCAAGAAATTCAATTTAATTGCAATCGTAATATGTAAGTCCACTTCATATAAATCTTCCACTAAAATAATTAATTCTTAAATTTGATTTTTTAGGACATATCTGGCTGGTACTACGAGGTAAATATAGAAAAATACTTTTATATGGGGTTTAACTTTGAATAGATGAATGCAATAAAGAGAATCAAAAACACTTTTTTAATGCATTGTTTTTGCAGGATCGTCTTCACCGTCATAATTTTAATTGCGGGCCCGATATGCACAATTTATAACCGTTTTATTTTAGTTTTGCGATGTTTTAACTCCCAAAAATGTATCTTGTCGATCTTGGTAATACGGCCCTGTTATATGTTTTTTTATTATTTTATGTTGTACGATATCCCTGTAATCAAATTATTGTTTATTTTGAATTATGTATATATGTTATCATAAAATATCATTGTATAAAACTTTTTATAACTACCAACCACTAGTTAGGTGTTCAAACTGATGTCCGTAAGTTTAAAATTTCCGGTTAATATTTTTATTATAATTATATTATAAAGACTAAAATAATAATAATAAAAATAACATGCTCATATTAATAAAAATGTAAAAGGTAATATGTTGAAAGTGAAAAAAAACTTTAAATCGAATCATTATTCAGAAAGCAACTAAAACGGATAAAAGTGATCCTGTTCACGGTTCAGAAAAAACGAAACTTTGAATACAAATTTTAAAGTGACAAATCGGGAACTATAAGTTCTATTACAAATCTGGTTGTATCATTGTTTATTTTCCAGGAAATTAGGGCAGTCACTTGTAAACGTCAACTTTGGATAATAACTAAGTTTGCCACAAGCACACACCCTGTATTTGGTCTTTGTATATATAGGACGGGAACAATACAATCACAAGCAAATTCACATTGGAGCTTCAAAATGCATCGTGCCTTTCCTGCTAAGTTCATTATAATAATTTCATCTAAATGAGCCCATTAAGTTGTTGTAAATTTAAAATGCACGCCCACACGGATAGTCCCCCATATAGTAATAAACCAGGTTTAATTTTTAGTTGAGGAATTTTCACTGCAATAAAGTGTGGCAGTTGATAATGATAGCGTCATGGTTGAATTTATTTTTTGGGATTTTTAATTTTTCCGAATAATATTTCGTGTGCCGGTTTTTCAAACTGCCTTATCAGAAATTAAATACTAGCATGTTATTGTTCATCTGGGGATGGGACTTAACAAAATTGTGTCTAGCAAATACAAAAGAATTAACATTTAAAGCAATTTTGTTTTGTTATGGTTTAAGGTGGGCAATTTGTACGATTATTTCATATATAAACAGCTACCGTTTTGATCATGGTTAAAGTGAAATAGATATAAGCTCAGATATGAGTTGTATATGGTGGTCTAGTCTGCAATATATTACAATCCAGGGCAACGTGAAAAAATAATTTTCGTCACAGGAAAAGTGCAATCTTTTAAAATTTTCGATTTCTCAATCTAATGCATACCAGTAAAAATATGTTCGTTCGTAACACATTCATAAGTGGCCATGTGAACCATCAACGAACACCTCCAAAACATTGGCGTTCTCTAATATTAAACGCACCACATTTGAAGCAATAATGGGTTTATTCTGGACCAATATCTGTTATCGATGTTCTCAGACAGAACAGAGAAAGGTCTTAATACATTGTTTTTATATCAGTTTAATATCCCAAATTCTCACAGAATATGTAAGCAGCGAAAAGTAACTTCACTTTTGCTGTAACTAAGATTTATTACATTGTTAAAGCTGCATTAGATCACGACGCCAAAGAAGAGTAGCTTTTTTATATAAAAAATAGTAACAAAATTCGTACCCACCCTTAAGTAAAGTACCCACTTAATGATGAGATATGAGTTTTAATTCATCTTCCAGATATCCTCGTTAATAGAAACTTTTTTTTTGTTTTCTGGTTTTTCTTTACTTTTGAATTACCCTGTAGATATAGCATTATGTAAGAACGGAAACAGACTAAACACGAGCATTCACCTTGAATGCTCGAATTCAGTTAACATAGTTTGCAATCGCAAGTGAACTATTTACTTATAAATTGAATTTTGCGGAATATACAGTTGGTTCTTTTCTTGATCTACCGTCGAATTCGTGGGCCGAGCGCAGGTGGACTGGCCTAAAACGTTTCGATAAATTTAGCTATCCCCGACTGTCACGCCATGTGAACCTTAAAAGCAAACAATTTATAATATAAGTTGGTAATTACTGGTGATAATTGGCAATATTTTTAAAAGCAAATAAGCCATAAAAGTCACCGTCATTATATGTGATTTATGCGGATTCACCGTTGTTTGAGTAAGTCGTTTAGGATTTCCTTAGAGCCACGGATTTGTTCCGCCAAAATAAAGAATCGATTTTATGGCTGCTGAAAATTTTGTTAAATCGACTTTTTTCTCTTAGTGTAAGTTTTGGTTAGTTAATTAGAAAGCGACCATTTTCTAAGTAAATTAAAATAAATTTAGAGTCCTTTTCTACTGTTAAAAAGATATTATAAGATTTTAAATCAGAGCGCACGCGCATTATTCTAATTATCTCGTCCAACATGTCCGCTGACAGCAATGGTTGAGTGTGTACAGGTCGTTGATTAAAAAAATGTATCAGAAAGTGCAGGAGAGTGTGTGAAATTTATGTGCATATGCCTCCTATATCAATTTTACCATATTTAAAAACGGCTTTTATATTAAATTAATCTAGTATGTGCATAATTTTAGAGATAAAAAGTCCTACAGGCAGACAATTTTGGTCGTTGAACTTTTTAGATTTTCTGAATATTATTAGTCCTTCGGTAATGTGAATTGATAATACCCAAATGTAAGGCAAATAAATTAAAACCACCAAAACTTTTTGATTGTCGCTAATCATTTTGGGTATAATCATGAGTATGAGAAGGTATAACAATCCAAACCTTTATCAGTGGTTATCAGTGGTTTGCCACAGGGTATACAGATGCTCGAAGATAATATATTACCATTGGGATTGTCTTTGCAACGTACTTATCAAATACTATTCTGTAGTGTACAGGGTTATTCAAGGTGAGTGTCATACTAGACGTCTATGGAAAATGACTTACGGTAAAAACCTGAAATTTTGGTTACTTATGTTAACGAATATCAGCTAAAGTCTTTTCATAGATATAAGAAAGTGACTAACTGATACGATTTAAGGAAAGACCCGGGCAAGCTGTAAGAATGAAATATGGCCGAACAGGTCCGTACTTTGCTCAGAATTTAATTATTTGGGATTTTGTTAGGAAAGCTACTAAACAATATTTATTTATTTATGTATGTATTTATGTTTAAATCTAAAATAAAATTACAAATTATTTTTATTACCTACTTAAATTACTTAAAATTATTCACATAATATATCAGTATCTCTATCATCGCCTGTTCTAATTATTATTTGTTCTATATTATATATATGTTTAACAGAATTTGATCAACTTTGTGGAGGGATGTTAAAAACTTCAGTTTCTATAAGTTTGAGGACATTGGAGTTAACACGGGGAAAAACATTGTTACGACGAATGGCAGATTTCAGTTGGTGCAACACATGTTCAATGGGATTAAATATACAGTGGTAATTTGGAAACCGTAAAACTGTATGCCCTAGATTTTTTGCATAATTATCGTAGACGTATTCTTTCTCGAACCTCAATTAATTGCTTTTTGGTATAATCTTCGTGAAAATAAATATCGTTATTATAGATGTAGTTTTGGATTGTTGCTTTTGTGTCACTTGAGGAAGGGGTTTTAGTCAACTGTGTACTGTGATAACTTGCATTGTCCATTACAATGACCCTATTAGGAGGAATATGTGGAACTAGTTTGTTTTTAAACCAACTTTCAAATAAATTAGCGGTGGTGCCTTCATGGTAATCCAGAGAAGAATCTTCAATATTTTTCGCAAACAGAGAAAGTCCATTTAGAATCCAACCATCTTCAGAGCCAGCATGCAAAATAGTTAGTTATTCTTTTACCTCTTTTTGATGGCACTTTTGTTTTACACTTATCAGTTGAGTCAACCCAACCCTTTTCCTGCGTATCATAAGTGTCTAACCAGGTTTCATTCAAGTAAATAATTGGCCTTTGTTGTTCTCTGCGAGCGCTAACGGATATTGAACAAACGTAATATGCATAATTACAAAATAATTACATTACAATCTCTTCTCCCTCGTTATGCACGTTACGTGTAGAATTTTGTGAGATGATATCGGTTAGAATACAAGAAGATCGAGATTTTTTTATCAGACGATTCAAACTTTTCACGGGATGGTATTTTTAATAGAAGGAATAATTATGCCTGCTACCCAGATGAAATGAGATTACTTTAATTCGCTTTAATTGCAGTATTTGTAACTCGAAAATCAGTGAAAATAGGTATACCATAGGTGGCAAATTAACTACTGATTTACGTGCCAATATAAAATATGGGGTATTTAAAATTCCCACGTAACATGGATTTTTATATCTTGCCAATTGGCCCTTATCTTATAAACGCCATATACATGATGAGTTAATTCTCATATTATATTATGGTAAAGCAATTTAATGGGGAACCGCAACCAAAAATTCAAGAGTTCATCATCATTGGATTGTTTGTTGCCATATTTCTTAAAAAGATTTTTTTTTCTCCGAAAATGTTTAAGATAGGTGTGGTACATGTTACTTAAAAAAAGTCCCAGAACGTATCGTAGATTCTAAAAATGTAATAATAATAT